CTCCTTAGCTTCATTGTGCTGTTTCTCCAGATGTTTTTTCAGGTTTAACGTCGTGTTTTTGAAGGTAGACCACACTCTGTCACCAGCGCAAAGTGTACAACAGACCTTAATGTTGTCATCCTTAACCAAAATAAACTCAAAATAATGTCTGTATTTCCAGCTGCTAAAGGCGGACTTCTCTCCTTCCATGTTCATTGTTCACATGACATCTGATCTGACGAGATAGAATCTTTGATCTGATTTTGGCGCCACGTAGCAGATATGACATACCTTGTAAGAAATAGACAAAAAAAAAAAAAGAACGTATAGTAGGCCACGTTCCCCCGAAATTCAGAAATAGTAACGCAATGTGTTTTTATAGAAGTAACCTTAATCTGTCTACTAGTTTTGGAATAGTAGTTGCGTTAGATTATTCGTTAGTGAAAAAAGTAGTACAGTACTACAGAATACCGGCAACAGCGGGTGCGGCATAATTAAACTCTGACTGTTTTTTGATATCTGTGCTTTATATGAAACTTTTCAGTTCTATTCTTCCATAGCTCTGTTTTGAGCCCATGTTGTTTCTCTAACATACAATTTCCAGTTTCATTTTATTTTTGCATTCAATGCAAAGACAGTTTGACAATTCAAAAAAAGTTCATTCTGAAACATTCTACTTGTACTAATACTCATCTTCTGCTTGTCGGGGACCGGGTCACAGGGGCTGCAGTCTCAGCAGCGCTGGGTCGACCTACAGTAGGTCTGGTTAAAAATAATAGAGCTAGCAAGTAGCTAGCAGACATGAAGGGACTCAATTCAAAATAACTCATTTTATCATATTTTAGTTAATATCATGGCCTGTGGCACAAGGTGTTTAAAAGGTTCGCTTACTAATTGTGTTACTTTTAGACTCAACTTACTACCTAAAACACATATAGATTAATCACACAGAGATTGGTATTTATAAGCTTTAATTTCTTTGCTTATTTTCCACTTGTAGCAAATAAAATGTTGTATCTAAGTTTATAATATTAAATCAGATGAATAAACATTTTTAAAACAGAAAAATAGGTTTTTAAAGCAAATAATGTCTTATACATGCATAAAGGCTGTCAATTTTACCCTGACAAAGACTCATGGGTCGATTTATAAGTAAATATACAAAATATATTTATTCTCATGAAGTGTGGGTTTCTGGAGGGGCCGAAGCACAGACAGGAATTGGTAGCAGAATGATAAGAACCAAACCAGAAAAACTGATAATGAAATGAAGTAGTGGAAGAAAAACAGGAAAGCTGAGTAATAAAGTCTGATTAACAAACACAGAGATGAACAGAGATATCAAAAACCCAGAACAAAGATCTAACATAGATATAACCTAACTTAAGATATAAACATTAGAGAAATAACTTAGTAAGTTATATACAATGAATGACCTAATATGCAGACAGATACTACCAATAATGAAACACAGAAATGTGCAAATAATTGAAACAATAACAAAGCAATGATGATGATGATGATGCACAAAAAAGAAAAACAACTGAAACCAACTGAGGATCTTGAAGTATATGGCTTATGTTTGAAAAGAAATTGTAAGTAAACGAAACCAAATACACCATAGAACATTTCTTTTCTTATACTGAAAATTAATCTGATTTTTAGACTTAGACTGCCTTTATTGTCATTGCACAAAAAACACAAGGTGAATCTTGACAACGAAATGTCGATTACTTGGCTACCACTGTAACAGAGGTGAGACCTTTTTCATGCACAATAAATATGTTTTCTATGAGTAAGAGCTGGCTATATACAGGGTAAAGAGTGCATGTATATATATATGTATTGCATATATTATTGAAAACGAAACATTAAATTGAAAACAAAACAAAACTAAGGTAAAGGAGTGTTGTGTGGCGTTAAGCAGTCTGATGGCCAGGGGGAACAGGGGGAAGAAGCTGTTCAGTAGTCTGGTCGTTCTGCAGAAGATGCTGCGGAACCTTCTGCCAGGGGGGAAAACAGCCCATGGTTGGGGTGGATGGCGTTGGAGAGGATCTGGCAGCGCCTGTCCGCGATGTTCTTGATGTCTTAAAGTCTCAGTGGTAAAACAACCTGTTATGCATAAGTACCACACCCTTTACTTCAAATGCCAGGCTTCAGTTCATCATAAGTAAACAGGATACAAGCTATCTGTTCGGTACAACATTCCTTCCCACACTCCACTAGACATGCAAACCAGCCGTCACCAATGTAGGCCAGGTCAGAATAACCACTGGGTCCATCATTAATGACCCCGAGTTGTTTCCATGCAAGCGGGTCAAACCTTGATGCTGTTTTGTTCAGATAGACTCCTAAATTCAACCTCTCATCCTTACTTGTTGGGTGAGAGAAAAGTAACCATTTGTTTACCTGATTTGTGTGTGCAGCTGCAGGCTGGGCTGGAAATGAAACCAGACTCCCCTGACAGCCTTTACCTGTTTCTACGAGAATGGGAGATTGTTTAAGCTCAGCAGAACTATTTTGACCAACCGTAGCTTGCACTCGAAGACCTCCCTCATTGCGAGCATTGCAGTAGATAACCTTTTTCCTATTGTCATCAATTACCTCCACCATCTCACACTCTAGAGAAACTTTTTTCACCATTTTAGAAATTCTCCATGTTTTCCCTTTATCATCACTACAAAAAAAAAAAGAATTTGGAACGGGGGGTTTATCTTTTGGGCCTGTGTAAGCATACGCTGGAACAATCATTGTGCCGTTGTCAGTTTGAAGACCATGGCCTGGTCCAACGGCAAGCACTGACCAGCAGTGAATCTCAGGCAGCTGATCGGTCAGATCAGTGAACTCACTCCACTGGCTGTCCTTGGTTCTTTTTCTGATGTAGCAAGGACGGGCCATGTTGCAGTGGTGCTTTTTCTGCCAGCTCTCTGTGTTTTTCACATACACGAAGAAAAGAAACAGTGTTCCTGTGTGTTTTTCAAACAGCAGGCAGGGATTCATGGGACGATATCCACAGGAGCACTTTTTCATTAATACTTCTTCATTCTCTGTCCACTGAAAAGACATAGTAAATTTTATTCATAGTAAAACAATGAATTAACCTGTTATTATATTGATCAAATAATCTTAGATTTTAATTACAGCTTCACTTAAAATATTTACCTCTACTGTCCTCTTGCTGTTATCATCCCTCACTGTTCCTATTTTCATGACCAGCGCCACCGCATCCGAATCTTGTGCTGTTGTCCGTTTCTCTGCAATAGCATACAGTTTTTTTTCATCTTCATTATAGTAAAGGGCAGGAATCCTGTACACTTCCCCCTTCTTTGACAAGAAGACAGTTGTTTTTCCAAATTCGGTTTTGTCCATTGCTGCCATTAGAGGGAAAGGTGACCTTACATGAAGAGAAAAACAACGTTTTCCTCTGTGTTAGATAATCAACAGTCTGCTTGCTGCTTCTTCTGGGCAGGGAGTTATACCTGCAGGACTGGAGGGAGGAGCAAAGACAACTTGGTAAAAAAGGAAAATCATACAATACTTCAGCAAACATCAAGATTAATGTTCTGAGGAAGTTAGAACAGAGCCAAGAACCAGAAAACCTGTTTGACCTCTTCTTACGTGTTTAGTCCCTTCATCAGTCCTGTATCTGTGCTATTACCACACACTAGGAAGCATGACTTTCATTTTATAACATGCTTTATAAAACCATGTTGGTAAAGTTTAATCTAAGTGTTAAAGCAAAAGTTGCTGCAAATATGGTGTACTAAAGTGAAAAGAAAATGCTTCAGCTGTTCTGTTACTTACAGCATATTTCTTCTTTACTACCAGCCCACAAAATGTAGTTTACCACTTACAGCTATTCCAAAACACTGGAGAGAGATATCATACTAATCTTATCTTGGTTTTCAATCAGTGGATTCCTGACAAATCCAATATTAAATTTAAAATCCTTCTTTTTCAGTATAAAGCCCTAAATAACTGCTCTCAATCTGCAGGTTTACTAGTGGATCCTTGAATTTCTAAAAGTAG